GCAAAAGCAAAGAGCAATGGGAGTGGTTTCTGAGTTGAATTTCTATCGTTTTCAGCTGTAAAACTGTACATCTCATCATTTATAAGCAAGAACATTATTATGGCAGAGATGAAACTAAAGAACATTATCAGAGATATCAAAGGCCTAAAATCAGGCGGTGCTTTCTTAATGTTACTATATATTGTCTCCAAAATCTACTTTTACAGTTGTGTGGCAGATAAAATTGTAAAGCCGTGCTATTCACTTTACTCAAAGTGGGAAAGAGGAATTCTCGATGACCCCCACTACTTCAAAGCATGGAACTTGCCTTGAGTCAATGAAAAAGTACCAGTTAAATAAATTATGAAATGCGTCATGGTCAAACAATTGTTGCAGAAATGGGGGTGCATTTCTGCATAAAAGTTCATAAATAATTATCCTGAAAGAACATTAGGGACTTCCTACAGTTATGGCTAAAATGTTAGTTTGTTAATCGAGATTAAAGAGAAAAATAAAGGAAAAGAGAAAAAAGAGAGTGCATGGTAAGAAAACTAAATTGCAGAAAGTAAGCATGATACCGCCGTGAAAGCATGAAAATGTAGGAAATGAAATAAAAACTAAAGTATAAAACTAAACTTAAAAGAAATTAGGAAGATGAATTTTGGGCAAAAGTGCAATAAATTAAATTGCGAAAAACTAAATACATCAAATGAAGATATTCACAACGAAATAATAAAAACTAAAACTAAAACTAATGATAGCGTAGAATTAAAGACTTAATTAGGAATGCTGTTTAAAAAAGTTGGATCTAAACTAAGATATTGCTTGTAAAACTAAATGTAGATAGCGTTAAGTTAGTTGCGTGAGAGGTTAGTCCTTCACTTCGTTTCTTCTCTGCATATTTATAGCAGTAAATATCTCTTGGCAATATGCTTGGAAATCTGTAGTAGCATGAAATCTAAAACGAACTGATTATTTTGTTGATATTGTCGATTATCCTCTTAAAAGTTTGCAACAAGCCAACGATTATCCTCTTAAAAGTTTGCAACAAGCCAACGACTTTGTCGCAGTTGTGCAAATAACTACTAAACCTTATTTGGAAAGATTTACACCAATAACTTTCAACCAATAAAATACCTGTTAACATTGAAGACACGTAACATCATTTTATTATTATTATTATTTTATTTTATTGCAAAAATGAGGGTAAACACTATAATTTACGGAAAATATTTTTTAATCCAATCGGAATGCCATGTTTGTGATATTTCCAAGCTAATAAGACGAAAATTTTCATATTACATCAAAAGTTTTTAATGTCACATAATTTTTTACACATTAGGTTAAAAGTTTCATATTAAGATATTCTTAAATAGTTAAATGTATAAAGATATTATTTTCTTATTAATTAAGAATACCGTGTGAAAACCACTTAATTAATATGTTCATTACAGTAAAAGACTTCCTTGTAAGTTAGAGCTGCAGATTTGTTCAATTGAGTCCATCTCAATTATTGAAAGATAATTAAATCCTGTGCTCAACAAAGTCTCTAATTATTGAGGAACGACCCTTCTGTTTTTGGCAAAAGTTTCATTCCACATGTTGGACCAAGAACAACTAATACCCATCTTTCTTCCCCATTTTATCTATACCACAACTCTCAGTAACATTCTTTGAATAAATCGCTGAAAATATCTGTAATCTGTCAAATTGATCTCAAAGTTCACTTCTGATTGAAATACAAAACTGAAAGCTCACAAGTTGACTCTGAAAATGTGCACACGTGGCTAGGGATTAGCTCATCAACACATCCAGCAATTCACAAGATTACTCAGTTTGTTTTGTATGGATTGCACAAACCTAAACTACAAAAACAAAGCATGGTTTTTTCTTTTCTTTTCTAAAATGGAAAGTGGAGCAGCAGCTCAGTTTATCTCAAAATAATTAAAAATGAATTGCCTCTTTACAATTGATCTGTATTTGTTTACAGCATAAGCCACATCACTGACCACTCAGTTTCACCTCTACCATCAACACAAAACATTCACTAAGCTCATCAATCTTTCAACAACCATAACCCCACATTCATGTGTCAATAGCATCATCGTCCAATCAAACCTGCATAAAAACAATACTTAGATCATCTTTGCTGAGGCTATTAGTTTGAGCTTTTGAGGGCGAAATGAAGGTCATTGGGAGCTTTGATTCGAGTTGTTTCATTCATTTAAGTCTACAAAGATGATAGAACCGGAAGATGGGTTTACCTTAATTTCTTAAGAATCAGCAATGTAGTCCATTGGGAGCTATTGTGTCCTCTTATCTTCAATAGGATTTCCTCCAGCAGTGGAGCACCCTTGTGCATATTGTGGGTCAAATGCAACTTCACCATTCCCACTTATCTTCACACTATCATCAAGATCACTGTAATCCAAATTCTGTAAAATACGAGGAACTCCCAGCCCATCTTTGTCATGCTTACTTCCCATTTCTATGTCAAATTTCTCTTTCAAACTAGAACCTCCAGTATAATCTCGATAACTGGAAACTACTGATTGATCATCATATTCTGAAGTCCATGCTCGGAATTTGACCAGTGATGGAGGAACCCTAGACAAGAAGATATCTTTGAAGTTCCTAAATACACCTTTATTATAGGGATTGTCCTTCTTGTCATACCGGTATCTGAAACTCTCATAAGTTGTCTGAAAGTACAAAGACCAGAATGGAAGTTAACTGCACATGGCATTAAGTTTCTAGACATTGAAACAATAAGGATAGACTTACCTGTATTTTTTACACTAAGAAGACAATGGCACGAAAGTGTTGTAGTCCCAATAAATACATAACAATAAATATTTTGAAGGGTAAGAAAATCACCTGGTTTGTCCAAATTAGGTACATATGGAAAACTGTAAGACCACCAACAAACCAGATGGCTATGAAGCAATATAATATTAGAATAACTGATAGTAAATCATGTGCCATAGCTCTCCACAAACTGCCTGGTGGACGGATAAGGTTCAACCAAGAACACACAAAAACATACAAGCACAACGAAGATGACGTTGATATAAAACCTATGAAGGATGCATAATTCCGCTGCAAACAAGATGAAGATAGCAGACATTTCAATGTTGAATAAGTAATCTAAACAGTTGGTTCATATAACAAACGGTTAAGAGTAGGTTTAGACAACTTACTAGTCCAATGCACTGCCCAACCCATGGACAGTGGTGATCAAATTTCTGCACACAGTTGTTGCATATTGAGCAATGTGAAGCTCGTGGAAGACGATATAGCAAACATGTTTCACAAAACTTTACTTTAACTGTGTGTCCATTGACAATTACATCCTTCATGCGAGGTATTTTCAGATAAGTTCTATTGTTAGCCCAATCCATTGATGGGGTACTGCTAAGTCCTTCATCTAATTCAACAGGGTGTGAATTCCTAGGCAGTATTCCTGGATCTCCAGCAGATGTCATAAACAGAAAAATAAAATCCTGCCAACAGCATCAAGAATTAAGATTGAAATATCATTTTCTGAAGGAAGCTCCTCCAACTATACCAGGAAAAGCTATGATTCACCTACCAAAAGAGTAAGGAATAATCCCACAGACAATACAGGATAACCAAAATGTGGATCCTCATCTTTGAAAATCACGAGCATCCTTATGCAGAATGTTAATGCAGGGCATCCAATTAGAAATGAAGTTAGACAAAGCGATCCTGCGTCGGGGCCAAGGACCAATCTTCCACCACAACCAAATTTCTGAAGCCAAAACAAGAGAAGATTCATCCCCAATCCCAAACATGAATCATCATGAACAACAAAAAAGGAAGAATGAAATCCCATGTTGGAAAAGGCAAGGGAAGTCAAGAAAACCTTACATTGTTGCCCTTCCAGACTTGATAAAGCCTCCTGGGAATGGGTTTGTGAGGAGCAACGTCGATTTCGTGAATTGAAGAAGAGTCATGAACCTGGCTCCTGCTCCTGTTCATATTTCTCCTTTTCCTCCAAGCATGCTACGAACAAAATGTGCTAAGTACTCACAAACACCAACATAAGAAAATCAAATAAGACAGAAACTTTTCATTCAAATTCTTGTTCCTGTTCCTCCTTCTCCCTTTTTCTCCTTCTGGGTATTGAGAAAGCGAATGACCACGAGAGATCAGACGCTATGTGGGTGTTTGCCTTTTTTTCCTTCTCTCACATTTCTGTTCCCTCTAGGCTTCTATTTTAGAGAAGGAACCAGGTTTCCCCGTTCACAATTCCTTACCCGATGCATCCTATACAAATCTCTGTAACAAACTTTTTGCTGTATGCCCCCCAAAGAAAATTTCGAGCGGGTTTTCCGCCGCCATAACTAAATTTTTCTAGCTTTATTGCATTTTGAAACCATGCTCTTCGTGTCCAGTTCTGTCAAAAATTTTTGCTTCATCCAATTCTTTCATGTTTCATGGTTGAGCTCCTAATCATATAGTCATATCATAGGTATAATGTGCTAAATCAATTACGACAATGATTGTTAACAACCTTTATTACAACAAAATTCCCGTATATTTTCAAGAAACATTGGTGTTTTTCAATACAAATCACATAAAAGAAGTACCATTTAAATATTAAAATTATAAATAATATGAAAACAATTTTAATACTTTAATAATTTTAATACCTAAAATGTACTTTTTTGTGCAATTTATATTGAAAAAAACCATTTTTAGTTTCCAAATGCAACAAGAGCAGCATCCTTTTCAAGGGGTGCTCTTCGTACCTACAAGAAAGAATAATGATAAATAAAATTGAAATTTAAAATCAAAATTTAATATCAATAATATAACTTAAATTATGTCATTTAAAATATTTAAAAATAAATTTTATATTATTTAATAATTAATTCTTTTTATTTTTTAACAATTTATAATATTATATACATATATCAATTAATTTAATAACATAACACAAAACACATCATTAATCTTGAATTTTTGCTCTCAAATTTTCAACGTTCCTGTTATTAGTGCTACAAGAAAGTATAGGTTGGTCATGGCAGGACTCTTACGAAGTTACAAGAAAATATAGGTTAGTTGTGCATGGCATTACTCCTACAAGAAAATATAGGTTAGCTGTGCATGGCATTAGTTTCATGTGAATAATGCATGTCTCCATACTCAAAAGGGGACCACTATTTTACTACTTAATAGTCCAGAGGAGAAGTCAAACAAAACATAATAAGTTACAGAATGAACGGGATACAGATGGAGTCTGAAGTAAATTACACATGGGATATACCCCCAAAAGTTAAAAACTTAATAAGTTCTTCACCCTAAAGCTACACATCAGAAGTTCTTCATGATGTTAACACAACATGATGCTACAAAAGACATTCTGTACCCATTCATCAGCAACAGGAGCTGGAAAATTTGATCCACCTG